CCTCATCAGGAATTTTAATTTTTCCAATTTTTCAGTTCATGCATCGTGCCCTCACGGAATGCGCTCCATCGATGCTCTTGGCGAAACCTTCTGTATTCGCCATATACTAGTATTCTGGTCGCATCTGTCTTGCCCTATCCTCGGATGGACTCGGATGAGTGTAACCGACCGCATCTGGGTTCCTATCGCCTCGAGACTGGTTTTCATCGTGCCCTCACAGAATGCGCTCAATCGACGCTCTTGGCGAAGCCTTCTTTATTCACCATATACTAGTAGTCTGATCGCATCTCACTTGCCCCATCCTCGGATGGACTCGGTTGAATGTAACCGACCGCATCTGGGTTCCTATCAGCTCGAGACTGGTTTTCAATTTCGCCACTTATTTGCCTTATTCAAGGCCACATACAGGTCAGTCCTGACCGACCCGCCTACTTACCCCTTTATGAAATCCGTTATACAGTGCCATATACAGCTGACATTTATTTCGACCCTGTTGATGTCCGACTATAATCCATTCCATACCGCCACATGCAGGCCAGTCCTGTCCGCATTTTTCTGTTTCCATTTTTTTCGAGGGGTATTTTTCTCCTGTAAAATCAATCCAATCATTTTTAAATTTTCATGTGGGGGTTTTTTTCAACCCTCGCTTATAATTTTTCTGAACGGACTTCTACTCTCAAAAACTATGTATTGCACTTTGTACAGATTTTGCCTACCTCGTCTAAAATTCGCATTTAAATTTATTTTTACTTGCTTTGATGGGACCCCGACGGGTCTTTAATAAAAATAATTAAATTATTCAAATTAAATTAAAGTAGATCTGGTTGTCGAAATTTTAATTCTTATGGCTGCCTACCTTCTCCCGCTAGTCTCTATCTTCCTTCTACACCCCCTACTCCTCCTCCTCCTCCTCCTCCTCCTCCTCCAAAAGTTAACTGCCAGCAAGCCTACCCCTATTCTAACTCGCTTATCATTCCAGCGTCTGAAGACTATGTCCCTACGTCCTTCAGGTCCCCCGCGCAGCTTTTTCTTCCTGACTACTCATATGTCAATAATACTGGACCCACTGGTACTTATTCCCCAAATAGCATTAATGCACATCCTACATATCCACCTTCAATTTTTTTTCTAAATACCGTCGACACGGGCCATCCTGATCAAAGCACATTGAATATTATATTATTAAATGTCAGGTCTTTTATAAACAAGATAGCTCAAGTCAAAGCCGTTGCTCTCGAAATGACGCCTGATATGATATGTATAGCAGAATCTTAGACCCATTATCTAATTCTTGACTTCTCCCTTTTTATGTATGACATTGGTTCCTACTGTTAAGACCACACAAGTAAGTGTGGAACGATAGCCGTCCTGCCTAAAACACTCCCCCTATTAGCTGGATGTCTCCGCATTCACGGGTAACTTCTGCTCTCCATCTTTTACTCTCTCGCCGCAAAGAAAGGCAATTATTGTTAGTATCTACAGTCCCTCCAACTCCTCAGCCAGTGAAGATGCACAAAATCTTGAACTCTTTAAAGTAATTCCGGAATCTGCTTTTGATATTAACATAATCACTGCGGATTTTAAACTTTT